GAGAGAAGTCTCGTTCGGAATCAGGCCGAGTCGCCGGTGCACACTCATTGTCCCGAGCATGAACAATGAGTTACCGGCGCCTTTATCGTCGCGGCGCCGCAAGACGCTTCGTAACGAGACGGCGCGATGGGAATACGAGATTGTCGCGTGCGTTCTGTCCCCGCGTGTCGGTGTGTGTATGTATGTGTGTGTGTGTGTGCGCGCCCAAACGGCATACACATACACGTGCATGCACGCACACAACCATCGTGTCCTTTGGTGTAGTCAGCTTTTTGGCAGTCGCGCGATACCTCATTCGCCTCGTCGCCCCTTTGTCGCGGGGAAAATCGTCGTAAGCTGAATGCTCACGATAATAAAGGACCCGTATGTACGTATATACACGCGGTTAGAGACTCTATTGCCCTGCGTATCGTGCAATGCTCACGTGACATCACGCGCGCGACATAACGCTTTTTATGGACGTTCTACGCATTTTTTTCGTTGTGCTCATTGTGCGGTAAAGTATCGCGCGAAAAAAGGATTTTGTAAGATCGCAAAATTGTCGCTGCGCTATTGCATATTTAATGTGAAAGCAATCAAACCTCACTATTATGTATAATTAGCTATTTGATATTACAACAAATCTATTTGGCCAAAAGATAAAAGTTGGTAAGCGACTTTGTTTTTCATAAAAATATCAATATTTGTTGCTAGAAATAGCAAAGGTATTTTGCAAATGTATTGAAGTGAAATAGTTTATTATCGTGGCAAAACAATTTTTTGTAGATTTGATAAAATTATTTTAAACAAAGTTAATATTTTTTTAGAAATATTTTCTTATGTTATATGATAACTAACGATGCCAGAACATATTTTTTCTATATGCGAGTTACGATAAGTAGCAATTACTTGTCAATTATCGTGATAAGAAATTTTTAAATATCTATACTATTATTAATTCATTTATTACAATTACGGATTTTTCAAATTTTTTCCCCTGTTGTAAAATTTGTAATTTAAATTTATATAGCTTTCACACAATGTTGCAATTGATATTATTTTATTTTAATACGACGCACGACAATCGATGCCATTGAGAAATTATTAGCACTCAAGTTCGGTGAAAGCGTATCCATTTACAAATCGTACAAACATCGCGCCATTAAAGGAATATACAATGCACGCACGTGAGTTGCCACCGCAACGATATCAAGGTGGCCGAGTTGGTGACGATGACGCTGAAAAAGGCTAAGGTCGACTGTTATTGCGCGGAATTCGTGACCGTGTGTGTGACAGCGTGCATTTTCCGCGATTATGTTCGCCGACCTTATACGCGACAGAGCCTTCAGCACGGCTTATTTCACCGCGTTAACACCATACTTTGTGCATCCGAGCGAGCGTACGTTGACGTATCCGTACAAGAGAGAATAAACGTACGAGAGCCGCATCTGACTGCTCTGGACGGACGCCAGGACTCGTCTAGGACGTGTCCGGACATCGAACAGCTTGCTAATGCGCGGAGTCTCGACCACGGTGCGCAAAATGAGCATATGCATATGCACCACAGTGTATGCCGTTAAAAAAAAATGCACCGCATTCACGACTGCTAAGCGAGCGGATCTCGTAGCGAAAGGTCCAACGCAAGCATGGTATACGTAAAAAAAGGTTATGTAAAATTTGGCGAAAGTCAAACAATCGAATCATTCAATGATTTAGTATATAATAAGATTAGTGAAGATTATATAAGCCCATCATTTAAAAAAAAAATCCTCTCGTCGAGAGAATTGACTCTTATAATATTCTCAAAAGATATAAGAGAAATGTGATATAGAAAAGAACGTTTCAAGAAAAAAGATACATTACATCGTGGAAAAGTGTACGTGGAAAAAATCTTCGCAAAATCTCTAAAGTATTTCGAATGGAAAAATGTCTTGTATCGCGTTTTTCTTATTTTAAATCATAATACATTTTATAAATTATATTCAAAATTCGATATTTAAATTTCTACATAAGTCTAATTATTTTAGTATTAGAAATTGAGCAGTGAAATAACAAGAGTAACAAGAGAATTTCACGTGAAAGAGAAGAGATAATAACCGTGAAATTTAGTATGATACGAAAATATTACGAGCGAATCCTTTTTCCACGTTATTATAATGAAAGAATGACAAGATGAAGAAAAACTCACGTAACGTTGCTCTGCATAGATGATTTGACCCTCAGAAAATCTGTAAATAAAACACAAACTATTAAAGTTATAAAAAATTTTATTCAAATCGCACATAAATAAAAAAGACAACATTTTTAATATCGACGATATAAATGGCAGATTTTATCAATGATTATTATGCATATATTATTTTGCACTATTTTTCTATTACACCTGCACGTTTAATACAACTGATAAAAATTCAATATTAGCTTTAAGTACTTTTTTAATCATTTAGCAATCTAAAAGAAATGCAGGGATATTTTAAATACAGGATTAAAAATTAATTTTACTTTCCAGGACACATTGGCAGAATGACAGAGCACTTTAACTGAATTGTGACGCTTACAGTAACGCGATAAAAAATGGATTATAATGCAAGAATACTGCATAATTATGCTCACCATCATTCGCATCGGTGTTGTCCCTCCAGCTGCTCCATCGGTCCAGGCACTCCTCCACGCGCATTGATACGAATCGATCGGAAAAACGCGGCTAATTACTGACGCGCACATCAATTAACGCAATGCAATTCGATCGCGCGACACTTGGTTCGGCACTCCCGACGCACATTTTACCCACACGCGCTTAACCCTTAACACGCACAAGATACGTCGCGACATTTTCGCATCCGATAATAGGAATATCGGATTTAGAGAAAAATCTAAACCGCGATAACGATCAACCGAGACTACGTATTATCACGCACCTCAATTAACGCGTAAAACGAATCGCGATACACTTCACTCGGCACTCCCGCACTTTGGAACATCGTCGACTACGAATTACGCATAAACCAAGAAATACGATATTTACATTTTTAGCTTATGATCGTACGATGTCTCGCTCGACACTGCCGAAGCGTAATTCAGTTTGTATTGTATACACGCGCTGTTTTTGGAAGCAAGGTCACTAATGACTTTGACTTTGACACGACGCGTCGCGATCTCACCGGAACGTCACGCGCGACGCGCTCTACGGTGAGCTATTGATACACATACACAAACATATCTATAGACGTACGTAACATACGGAGAAAAACACGTCGTTCTCCTTAGCTTTATAATAATATGAATGTACGAAAAAAAATGTCGTTTTCTCCGATTATCAAATATAGTATCAAGTAGAGTATCAAATATAAGAGTTTTATAATCCGATTGTATCAAATATAAGAGTTTTATAATACGAACTTATACAAGATAATAATTGTGTGTATTACAGTTTTTTTTCAAGAAATTATTTTTTTCAATTTAATATATAATAAAAGTGACCATATATGTGACCAATTATTTTTTTCAATTTAATATATAATAAAAGTGACCATATATCTTATATTGAATATAGAATTAATCTTTTGACAATAAACATTTATAAATATATATATGTATAGTATATCAAGCATTGATGCTTGATGTTAAGAAAAATCGAATGATATTTCATAATAAGTTACGAAGATTTATGATAACGAAGATACGTAATCGAAGATTCATACAAAGATTCATAATAAGATATTTCATAATATGTTACGAAGATTTATGATTTATTTTAAAAATTAGTTTATATAACAAAAAATTTAATTTGTTTATTATACATTTTAAAAATAAATCACACATACAGACATTTTTTTGAAACTACACATGTTAAAAATAAAAGTGTATGTGTGTGTGTATGTAATATTAAATCCTCATGAAAAAGAATTAAAAATTTTTTTAACTTTTCCATTTCTTTATCTATTTTTATAAACTTATCACATAAATATATTCTTTTATTATTGTATAACTTTTAGCAATAATAAAGTTTTATACACACAATTATATATTCTGTATATGTCTAATTTACATGTATATATCTAATCTACTAATCTCTATCATTGACAGACTTTTAAAAACTATTATGTGCTGTCATCTAAAGGTGCATTATTCGAATTACATGTGCATGCAATCAATAGTTTTAACATGTCGGTATCACATATTATTTGCCGCTAGATAATCGTGGCATCTTTATCATTGATTTTTACCGACCTATGATATTATCAAATATTGCATTTAATATCCTATTGATTAATGGTGGTATCATATTTATCGACGGATACCAGTAATATTTTTTTAAAGTGACGATCATAAATGATACAAAACAATTTAATATATTGAAATAACAATATTAAAAAGTAGAAACTCTTAAAATTTAACTATAATTGTTTTTATGCAAATTCCCATGTATAAATATATCTTTGCCTTTAAACTTTAAACCATTGCGCTTGTTGTACTCGCGTAAATAATATTGAGCTATATACGCAGAAATTTTATATATTAATTCGGCGAAGTTAGTTTGTCAAAAAAACTATACATATAAATTAATACTATTTAAAATTATATGTACTGATATTATATGAAATATAAGAAATTATATGAATCATATCAATGTAGACGAGCTTTTATATCAAATGTATATATTCCTATCATTATTTTATTCCTCTTTCTCGTCTATTGTTTCTCTTTTGAATTTTTTGCAAAGAATCGCCATCATGCATACAACGATGCACAAGTCATGCAAAGTGTACAAGTGAAATAACTCACCGACATGTTGCTACAAGCTGCATTTTCCGGACAGAACATCGTAGTTTAATCACACTTTATGGAACTAGTAAAACTAATATTGCGTTTCTTCTGCATGTATCGAAAAAGAATTAATTTGCACTCGCGAGCCGACAAACTTCCGCACCCGAGAAAAATTGTCGTTGATCTGACGTCGAAATTCAAAAAAACGGCACACGGCGCGAAATTCACGCATCACGTGACCCGAGTTGCGCAATACGTCATCGTGACGTCACGCTCCAATGAAGGTTATATGCCCCATCGTAGGCGCACAGCGCGAACTAACCTATATTCCTCGAACGATGCCAATTTAAAAGGGCGACGATATCGCAAAAGTAGCATGTCAACGCACGAATGCATTTATCCGATTGACAGGCATTGACACACGTCGTCGCGAAAATGTTCGCCGATCCGTCGTCGCGATTCGCAGCACAAACTTGATATCTATTTCGAGTGATTAACGCAATGCGTTAATCGTTTATTTATAACATCGCTGTATCGCTTTTCCAGTTACCGTTTACGAAGTCTACGTATTGTCGCGCTTTAAAATGTGTTAAATTTTGTTATCGTTTTATTTTTCTTTTATCGCGTACAAATTATGGATGAGGTTTGCTTTCATTTTTCGAATCAACTTGAAACATTACAGGTAATTGGATTTTCTCCTATATGAATCTCATTTGCTCTCATAATTGTGTGTTTTATGTAATATTTTCATGTGTAGTGCATGTGTATGTAGTAAAATTTTTTTGTTAGAATTTAAATATTCTATCGAATAATTGTACTAATCGTTATCTGCTGTTTTTAAATTGCATTACATTAATTATATTGTCTTTTTATTCGTAATTTTTGAAAAAAATTATATAATTTTCTATTCTATGTAGAAAAATGTATAATGTATACATGTTATATATAATTATATACATATATATGTTTCGTATATCTTTTTTTAATATTCTGTAAAATTTTGTTATTTTAAACTTAATATGTATGTGCAAATTACTTTGCATCAAATATAATTATTCATAGAAATCTCAATGTACTACAAAAAAAAATTTGGGGGAAGGTTCAAGCATCCGTAGCAGTTCAACAGGCACAGCAATCGTGTATGACATGGCTAGTTCAGTTGCGTGAGTTTATCCTGCAGCTTTTTGACGAGCAATACACGCAGTATGCAAAAGACATTGTGTTACGTATGGTTACTTCTGTACAAAGAAGCTGGCAAGAAGTCCAATTTCAATTTTATAATGCCCAATGGAATACAGTAGATTATTATCGTCAATTAGGAACCATGTGGGCTAATAAAGGTATGTTGAATGTTTAAAAAATTTTTGATAAATTATATTTTTCTGTGTCACACTTGAAAATTAACTATTATTATAAATTTGTTTATATTTTATTTAGTATCAAGAAGAGAAACAATGTATTGCTTAACAGGCATAGCAATCGGAACTGTGATAGGCTATTATATTGGTGTCAATTGGAAACCTCCTTCTTTTCACATACATCACATAAAAGCTATAGCTTGTCATCATTATTATGGTATCGAGGTATATCATATACATATATATGTATTAAATTACAAGTTTTGAATATAAATAATAATTTTTTTTATTTGTCACATAGGGTGTGTTGATGATAGATGATGTTGAAATGCCAACAATCAAAAAGTCAAATGATTTATTAATACAAGTTAAAGCTGCTTCACTTAATGTTATTGATACAAAGATATGTTCTGGTTACTCTAAAATATATAGAAGATTACTTAATTCAGGGGTAAATATAAACTTTTTCAAAAATCTATTCATATCTTATAAGATAATATTGTAATATATGAATATGTATATGCTTTATTCTTCAGAAACAGAAACAACTACCTGTAACTTTAGGGAGAGATTGCGCAGGAGTAATAGTTGATATTGGACAGGATGTTATCAATTTTGATATTGGAGATGAAGTATTTTTAGCCGTTCCATCGTGGGCTCCTGGCACGATGGCGGAATATATAATTGTTCCAGAAACGCAAGTAGTAAGACGGCCTAAATCTTGTAACTTTGAAGCATCTGCCAGCTTACCATACAATGGTTGCTTGGCATGGGATGCTCTAGTTAATAGATCTATTATTAAAGAAGGCAATGCCAAAGGAAAACGGTAATGCTCTTTATTACTGTTTCCAATTTTTTAAATCCTTATATTCAAAATATTAAATGTCAATAATATTATAATTACAGAATTCTCATTTATGGTGGGAATACTCCAATTGGTTGTATTTTAACACAATTGGTTAAGTTATGGGGCGGATATGTAGTGACTGCATGCAGAATAGATGCAGAACCTGTATTGAAAGCATTAGGTGCTGATGAAGTTATAATAATAGGCGAAATCGACATTGAAAAGGAATTACAATTGCATGACAAGTATGTAAAATTAAATACAATTTATTATATATATATATATATATATATATATATATATATATATATATATAAACTTATAATTTATTAAATAAACAAAAAAAGGCGATTTTTAATTACGGTACGTTTTTTTATATAGGTACGATGCAATTTTTTATACCGATAGTCAACCCTTTCAAGAACATATTTTAAAAAAATTCTTATTGCCACATGGTTCCTATGTATCTACTATTCCTGAACAATTAAGATCGGACTCGTTGGGATTTATTTGTGGAACTATTTTTGCTGGATGTGTTAGAGTGAAATTATTGATTCAGGTATGTCTCAGTAAAGATGTTTGTGATATTGAAATTAGTTGTTACTGACTGATGTTTATGTTATAGTATATGTTTGGATTCAACATGCATCAGTGGAAGGAGGGTGCAAAATTGAATGTTGCATATTTACGAGCTTTATGTGAATTGACTGATGCAAACCAACTGCAAACAGTCGTAGATAGAGTATATGCACCATATAATATTGAGCGAGCATTGCTCCATGTTTTAGATCCAAATTCTATTGGTAGTACGATTATTACATTTCAGTGATATTTCATTGCCATTACTAGAAGAAAAGTTTATTCCGCAATTACCTCTTTTGTATATAATATTAGTATGTAATTTTGGTGTATAAACTGCCAAACATTATTAATACATTCATTATTTAAAAATGGTAATCATACTTGGTACTAAAATAAAGACTGACAACATAATACAATTAACAAAATATAAAATGTTAATATATACTTTACATTTTTCTAAATTTTTCATAAATCAAATTATGTCAATAGAAAACAGAAAACATGTAATGTATAAGTCGCATTTGGAAATCTAAATAATGTTTATAAAGATTTTGATAGAAATACAAATATGTAAAAAAATATTATTAAATGTATTGGAGTTTATAACGTGTAAGAAGATATACATTATATATATGAATATTATAATATTGATATATTTTATAAAATAAATAAAAAAATTATACATGCTATTATGTTATCAGTTGAAATTTTACAATTTGTTTAGAAATTTAAAAAATAAATGCAAAACGTGTGTCACAGTAGAATAAACATTCGAGACGTCTTATAAATAATACATAAATATGCAATTTTAATATTGTACCTTGTTTGTGAAGTTTGTAGTATTATTCTCATTTTGCTTTCCCGCGGAATTTACTGTTACCTACTGTTTTCGCCTTTTTAGCTGGTAGTTTTTTTTCTTCTATCTATAATAATATACAAAAAAAATATTTCATTTAAATATTTGTGTAAATTAAAATATAAATATTAGATGGAGATCAAAAAATATTTTACCTTTCGCTTTGGTGTTGGACTCGATTTCGTCGGTAAAACTTTGAAGAACGAATCCAGTCTGCCTTGTGTGGATGTATTTCGAGCTTTATGAAGTTTCTTAGCTCCATTTCTGACTCGTTCCTCATTAAACTGCTTATCACTGCATAAAAACTTTACCAGACCTTCTTCATCTGGTTCAGACCATTTTAACTTGCAAAAGAAATCATATTTAGTACACATAGTTTACAAACAAAGGAAATAAATTTATTTGAAAATTATAAAAATTACTTGGATATCTTCTGCATTTGCTACTTCTGGTTCTTGAAATAATAATCTTGCCTCTTTGTAATTCCAATTTTCTGGTATGGGATATTTTTTAGTATCTATATTTTCAATAATTTTGTCAAGAGATCTATAATTTTTTATCAATTCTATTGCTCTTTTTGGACCAACACCTTTAATGCTTCCAGTATAATCACAACCCAGCATAATACAGAGATCAATAAACTGTAAATTATATGCTATTTTAGATTAGTTGATAAAATATTTACTATAAAATAAAGATAAGGAAAATATATACCTCATCATGATTCAACTCTAAACCTGTAAGAACTTTATCCATATGAATCTCCTGTACAGGCAACTTTCTGGCTTCGCTGAGAGTTAAACGTCGAAGCAATATATCGCAACCAAAGGTGAGAGCATCCATATCTTCTGTAGCAGTAGCAAAAACTTTACCAGCTTTCACTAAAGCAGCACATTGTGCTTCAGCTTCGCAAGGAGCCTATATAAAAAATATATTACTAATAGAAAAAAAAGAAACTATGGTTTCATACTTACATCAATATAGGGTATGCCCATTAATTGGAGTAATTGTTTAGCTTCGTCAGCATGATTTTTTGTAACTTTAACCAATCTTCTGCTAAATTTATCTATAGCCTCTACATTTCCTTTAATAAAAGACATCTGCTATTAACATTTATAATTTTTTCTGCAGAATGTAAAGTTTAAATTATTTTAAAAATAATTTTATGATAGTGAAAAAAAAAAAAATGTATATATATATATATATTACATAATATATTAATATATTATATAATATATATTACAAAATATATTACCATCTTCTTCAGCAGCTTGCAAAAGTTTTTGAGCTTCGTCTCTTCTCTCAGCCCGTTTAGCTAACTCTCCGCTTTTTAAGTTAGGTGGTTTTCCATCAAAAACATATACAGGCTTTATTCCTTGTTCTACCAAACGTATAGTCCGATGAAATGTACCCATTAAATGGCTATGTAACAAAATTTACTATTAAAGAATCCTTCTTTAGTTTATTTTATAAAAATCTAACATAATTTATACATTATAATTAAGAAATATACCTGGTTGTTTCGCCATCTACAGTAGTAAGCTGAGCTCCTTCACTGCGTACAGCTATAAGAAATTGATATAAACACATAGAGGCATCAATAGCTATTTTACGACCTGAAACATAAAACCAGAAATTAATAATAAAAATATAAACAAAAAAACACAACTAATTAAGATAATATGACATATGTATATATTATAAACATTGTATATAATCATGTAGATTTAAAAACTTGTCAATTTTTTTGGTTAAATATAAAAATTCAAACACACGTAGAGACAATAATAAATTACATACCAAAATAATGCTTCAATTCTCGCTCTTTGATAGCTTCCGGAGCTATATCTGCTATGAGTTTCGATAAGCCTAAAATACCCATATTGGCGAAATATTTATCGTATGTAAGAACCTGTAAGAACTGACAAATCTTGTTGCAATCAAACGTACGCGACCGACATTTTCTAACAAACAGACACGTTTCCCGCCAATTTGCTATTTAATGTAAACGAAGCTTAAATCAATATATGAACAGACTTTACCACATATGAAATTGGCTGCGGTCGGGAAAACGTTCTGGAGTACGTTCCAAAACGTACTCTCGGAGGAAAATTTTACTCGAGCTAGCCGTTCTGAAACTCTTTTAAGGCCTTTGCACGTACAAAAATTTTAGTCGTAACCGTGAGCCTATTCTTTTTAGCTGCACTATTGCACTAGTGCAATTAGTTAGAGTGAAAGAAAGTATGAGTCTGTTCGTTTTAGCTGCACTGCTGCACTAGTGCAATAAGTTAGAAAGAGACAAACATACTTTATTTCACTCTAACTAATTGCACTAGTGCAGCAGTGCAGCTAAAACGAACAGACCCTATGTTTGTCTCTTTCCAACTTACTGCACTAGTGCAGCAGTGCAACTAAAAAGAACAAACCCCCGTAAGGTTGTAAAGGTGCAATTTCATTGACGCTAGAAACCAGCGGCAAATTAAAATCACTAGACTTTCTCTAGATATGGCATCAATAAAATAAAGTTCAAACAGTTTCAACTTTTTCAGTGTGTAAAGCGGCCTTTTCATTGACGCTACTTTTTAGCGTCAATGAAATTGCACCTTAACAGTTGGCAGCCCTACGAGATAGGCTGTGCAGCACTGCGCGTATATAAAATAAATTTGAAATCGCTTCTAGCCTAACCATCTTCACGCGATCGACTTTATTTGAATTGCACGGCATCGCATCGAATTATGATGCGGCGGCGATTTGTTCGAACGTAATTCGGGACATCGCGATGCTGTATAAGCGTCGAATGAGCACGAATTGTCACGCAAATATGATAAATCACATCTACTCACCGTTCACCGGCTGTTCCACAGGCCGCTCCACTCGCTCGCCTCGGGACGTCTCATTCCGATCTTGATGCACACAAACTCACACGAAATCATCAACGCGAACGCGCGACACTTTATTCGGCACTCCCGATATTCGCTCGCATCCGATAATCATCATCAAGGGCGCAAATAACGCGACGCGACTTCGCTCCATCTTCGCGATGACGCCATCACTGAATATCGTCAAAAATCGCTGTCGCGCGTTTCCATCGACACATTATAAAAGTCGCGCGATCATCCTTCGACACTTTCGACGCTCTTTCACTCGCGATATTCGTTTAAAAACGGTTAAAAGACGCGAAAAATGCGGACGTACGACGATCCGTGTAACTGCGTATGACTCCGATTCACGTATGACGCGTATGACGTAGCAGTCACGCGCCAACATGGCGGCCGAACCAGTGCGCACTGGTTCGGCCGCCATGTTGGCGCGTGACTGCTACGTCACTGCTACGTCACAGCTACGTCATACGCGTCATACGTGACTCGGAGTCATACGCAGTTACACGGATCGTCGTACGTCCGCATTTTTCATGTCTTCTAACCGTTTTTAAACGAATATCGCGAGTGAACGAGCGTCGAAAGTGTCGAAGGATGATCGCGCGACTTTTATAGTGTGTCGATGGAAACGCGCGACAGCGATTTTTGACGATATTCAGTGATGGCGTCATCGCGAAGATGGAGCGAAGTCGCGTCGCGTTATTTGCGCCCTTGATGATGATTATCGGATGCGAGCGAATATCGGGAGTGCCGAATAAAGTGTCGCGCGTTCGCGTTGATGATTTCGTGTGAGTTTGTGTGCATCAAGATCGGAATGAGACGTCCCGAGGCGAGCGAGTGGAGCGGCCTGTGGAACAGCCGGTGAACGGTGAGTAGATGTGATTTATCATATTTGCGTGACAATTCGTGCTCATTCGACGCTTATACAGCATCGCGATGTCCCGAATTACGTTCGAACAAATCGCCGCCGCATCATAATTCGATGCGATGCCGTGCAATTCAAATAAAGTCGATCGCGTGAAGATGGTTAGGCTAGAAGCGATTTCAAATTTATTTTATATACGCGCAGTGCTGCACAGCCTATCTCGTAGGGCTGCCAACTGTTAAGGTGCAATTTCATTGACGCTAAAAAGTAGCGTCAATGAAAAGGCCGCTTTACACACTGAAAAAGTTGAAACTGTTTGAACTTTATTTTATTGATGCCATATCTAGAGAAAGTCTAGTGATTTTAATTTGCCGCTGGTTTCTAGCGTCAATGAAATTGCACCTTAAGAAAACTGACCAATCACAGTTGATTATTCTTTTATCACAGAAAGAATACTCGACTATGATTTGTCAATTTTCTTATGACACCTCTCAGTTTTCTCTCTGGAAATATCAAATACCACGTGTATGTGTTTTGCTTACACTTTTTATATTCAGATATTCTTCCCTTTCTTTTCTCACCTTTCTTTTCCTTTTCTTCTGAGAACAGGTCTGTCTTATGAATTTATCTATCATTTCAAATGTAATCTCATTCAAGTAGAAATTTTTAGGAATTTCAAAACGAATTAACCTAATTGTACGTTCCAGCATTTTCAAGATGGAATTTGTAGACTCTACGAATTATTCGGAAAGTTCGGACGAAGAAGACGATGTAAGTTGAAATGATTTTATTAAAAAATAATGCACACGTATCTATGTATTAAAAATATATTATTTAATGATACTTCTTATTTTTATGAATACATTTTTATTTTACCTTAGTTTTTTTAATAGCAAACACTGAACCCATAATAGAATTTTGCTTTTACATTCTTAAGAGGAATATATAATATTAGAATAATATATAATATTAGAATAATATATAATATTTAAAAAAATAATATTAAATTTTTATTTATTTTTAGTTTCAGCCAAGAAAACAAAGAAAGAAAGGGAGTAAAGACTTTGACAGTAACTTTCAATTTATAAGTAGTACAGATGAATATAATCAAGATCCTTGGAATGATTTGAGCAAATATATTAAACGTAAGCCAAAAACGAAATTAGATGATAAAATAAGAAAGATACGAAAGGAATATAATGAGCAGGTATGTAATATTGTCATTTATTTGCAAATTATAATGACATGCAATATAAATTATATTATTATTACAATTTGTATAAAATGATTAGAAGAAATATGTTATTGTATTTGTTAGGATGGAATTGAAGATGATTTTAAAATTGAGCCAAATACAAATCAGAATGATGATACGATTTCCCTATCTGAAGATGAACTCAAGAAAGGTACATAATTTATTTACATAATCAAAAAATAAAAAAAATGGCGTAAGAGCCAATGTGCGGTTTTCAATATTAGTTTATTAAAAACATATTATAATAACAAAAAGTATTTTTTGTTATTATAATATGTTTTTAATAAACTAATATTGAAAAAAGAAAGAAGTGTTGTTGCTTCTTTGCGCTCCAACTATCGCGCGTTGGTTCTTACGCCATTTTCTTTTTGATTTTTTGATTATTTGAGCCAAGTCTCTAATTATTAGATAATAAAAAAAATTTATAAAAATTATGATTCTCAAAAGACATTACTTATGTTTACAAAATATTTAATTATATATATATATATATAATGTAAAAAATATGTATAAAATATATATATATATTTAAAATATTTATATTTCTTTGAGGGAACAAAAAAGATATTTCTTATTTATTAATTTATTATAGACACTGTTAAAACCAAGGAAAAGAAAAAGAAGATGAAAAACTCTATCAATAAAGATGATGAGGATACACTTGATTTTGAAGAATATACAGATTCTCAAACATATTCTACATTTTATCAAATGAATTTGTCTAGACCTTTGCTAAAAGTATGTAATGTATATAATAATTAATTAGTAAAGTAATTACTAAAATAATATATACAAAATAATATGTAAAATATATAAAACTATAAACTTGATAAAAAAATGTAAAAGATACTGATTAATTTTTAAAAATTTCTAGGCTATAACAGCAATGAATTTTATACAACCAACTCCTATACAAGCTGCTACTATTCCTGTAGCTTTAATGGGTCGTGATATTTGTGGTTGTGCAGCAACAGGTACTGGCAAGACTGCGGCTTATATGCTCCCAACTTTAGAAAGATTGTTATATAGGCCATTGGATGGCCCTGCTGTTTCACGTGTTCTTGTACTTGTACCTACTAGAGAGTTGGGAGTACAAGTTTATCAAGTGACAAAACAGTTAACTCAATTTACAACAGTAGAAGTTGGTTTATCTGTAGGTGGATTGGATGTGAAAGTACAGGTGAAGATTTTATCTCTTTTGTGTGTGTTAAACTTCTTTTATATATAAATCTTTTAAATAAATTATCTACAATAGATGACATCTAATAAATTATAAACAGATAACATGTCTAATAAATTTACCATTTTTATAATGTAGGAAAGCGTATTGAGAAAAAATCCAGATATTGTAATAGCAACTCCTGGAAGATTAATTGATCACTTAAATAATGCACCTACTTTTTCATTGAACAATATTGAAGTATTAATTCTAGATGAAGCTGATAGGTATAATAATTAATATAAAAATGTATTCTAATATATACCATACACATACACACACACATATACCCAATACAATAATATTAATTTATTAGATGTAATAAAAGATAATTATACATTTAATCATATATACATATTTTCTTTAAGAATGTTAGATGAATATTTTGCTGAACAAATGAAATACATTGTAAAGCAATGTGCAAGAACCAAACAGACTATCCTTTTTTCTGCTACTATGACAGAGGAAGTCAAGGATTTAGCAGCAGTATCTCTTAATAATCCTATTAAAATATTTGTGGATAGTAATCAAGATGTAGCCTTTAACTTACGCCAAGAATTTATTCGGTAAATATAAACTCCATCTATATAATTATATTATTTTTCATATTTCTTACTATTACTTTCTCTTCTTTTACCTTGAACAAATATGATTTTAGCATACGTAAGGAAAGAGAAGGAGATCGTGAAGCAATTCTAGCAGCATTAGTTTGTCGAACTTTTCATGACCATACTATGATTTTTGTACAAACAAAAAAACAAGCCCATAGATTGCATATTTTATTGGGATTATTAGGCTTGAAAGTAAATAAATCGATAATATTAATGAAATTAATTATTTTTATATATTATTTTTATTTATTTTTTTTATACTTAACTAGGTTGGAGAACTTCATGGTAATCTCACA